CCCGCCCCGGCTCGGCGCTCGGCCCCGCCGTGATTCACTGCCCGGCCCTGGGGATGCCGCTCTGAGCGTCCCCTGCAGCTGCTGAGCACCGAGCGATTCGGGTCTTGTCTCCCCTCTAGCACTGCCACGGCTGCCTCCCCTGCAGACCTGCTCCCCAGAGCCAGAGGGATGGTGGTAGTTACGGGGCAGAGCAAAGTGAGTGGAAACCCGGATGATGCCATGTCGAGCTCGGATGCAGAGGATGATTTCCAAGAGCCAGCCACTCCTACTGCCACCCAGGCAGGACAGGCACTACCTCTGCTGCCTCAGCAGGTAAGAGCTCTCCCGGGGCTGGTCACCTCAGCAGGTGCAGTGATGGCAGCACACACTGCTCACCTGCCAGAGAATCCAGAGGGATTTCTTTGTTGGAGTATTTGTGGATATCCAGCTCTGTTTCCATTAAATGTTTGAATAAAATTGAGTCTCTTGAATTTATTTCAATAGCTTGGCAGCTTCACTTAGAAGTTCCACCCATGTTTGGACTTGAGAAATACAATTAAGTGTTTATTCTGGTACTTAAGGCATCTTATGGTGTGATACTAAGATTTTAGGCCTAATGTAAACACAGAATCATTGGGGTTTTTTCAGTGGACAGTGTAGTAGTGTAAAGGAACCAGCAGAGCAGCAACTGAGTGCAAGTCCCAAGGTTGGTCTGAGATTTCTTCCCTTTTTGCTTTCCTGTGTGTCTGTGTAATGGTGGGGAGGGGTTTTTGTTTTGGGGTGTTTTTTGTTTCTTCCCCCAAAAGAGCCAAGAGGAGGCAGTAATGCATTTAATAAATACCTGATATTAAATCTGAGTGATTTCTTCTGTTTCAGATTTCCAACTACAAGTAAACCACCCAGAAGCTAAAGTATTCCCATTAATGCTCAAACCTCACTGTTTTGTGGCATTAGGGCAGGAGTGAAGCATTGGTCATAGTGGCAAAGACTGGATGCTGTGTCTTCTGCAAGTCATAACCTTTTTGGCCTGGACTGGAGGCTCCTTCCTGATGATGTGATTGCTTTTGCAGTTTCCAGAAGTTGTTCCACTGAACGTAGGAGGAATGTACTTCACGACGAGACTGTCCACGCTGAGACGCTACGAGGACACCATGCTGGCAGCTATGTTCAGTGGGAGACACTATATTCCAACAGATGCTGAAGGCAGATACTTCATCGACAGAGATGGAACCTACTTTGGGTATGTACAGTGTCCCCAGGAGCAGGCTTGGAAAGCTCATGCTGAGGAAAGTTATACCCTCGTGTACAACACTGGTTTTTGTTACTACAGTACCTATGATGAAATGCCTAGTGCCAATTGCTTCACCTTCAGGATTCCTTCTTATGTGCTTGTTTTATTTTTAATTAAACTAACCATGATCTTACTAAGGCTCTGTCTGAACTGGAGTGACATTGCTGGAAAAGCTCAGCAGTGCACATGGGCTCATGTTCCTGGGTTAAGGTCTTTGCCCAAAGCACACTGCAGTTTATCCTACATTCCTTGTTGCTCCTTTGTAGACATTTCCTTAATGCCTTCAACAGAGAAAGATGGAATTGTTTTCAAAGCACATTCGGGTTGTACCATAATCTGGGACAGAAATAGATTAAACCACAGTGTTTATTAAAAAAATAATTGTGTCTTTGCATGTGTCAATTTGTTGGAGAATGAATTCATTTGTGATGTTATCAATCTGAATTAAAAACAGAGCTGGAACAGAGCGCCAGGTTAGCACCTGCTGTGTGTTGACATTCCAAGGAAATTCATAGTCATGCTTGGTGCATTTGATAAGGTCAATAATGGCTTTGGTAGTTAATGTTTATAAAACAATTTCTTTCCCAGTCTTGTAGCTCAACAGTGTTTTGAACTACAAGGAAATGTTTTTCTCCTTTTTTTAATTCTTATTCTCTGTATGGCCTTGATCCTGTGAAGAGAAACCTCCTTTGCACAATGTACCTTTCACTCAGCTAGAATCCTGGCTCTGTGTGGAATAAAATGTCCCTATGATTCTCTGGGAAAATGGAGAAGATGATTCTGTCACAGACCTAAACTGGAAATGCAGTGATGACCATCCCTTTCCCATGAAATACTGTGTCCTCTTCTATTTTGAGTGATTCCTCCACATCAAACTCTTGGTTTAATATGCAATGATATTTTTTGAATGAGTTTTGACATGTGAAGTAATAACTTGAACGTGGCAAATGGTTTTAAAAACATATGTTGAAGTGGCTCATTTGTGTCAGTTTCTAAGTGTAAGGATTTCTGTCTCAGAGTAAACAATGAATATCCAGCGTTTCCTCTCCCTTCCCACCTGTGACAAATGTGTTTCCTAATGACATTTTGCCCTTTTTTTTAGAGACATACTTAACTTTCTGCGATCTGGTGACCTGCCACCCAGAGAACGAGTGAGGTCAGTTTACAAGGAAGCTCAGTATTATTCCATAGGACCATTGCTAGACAATCTAGAGGATATCCAACCTCTTAAAGGAGAAAAAGTTAGACAAGCTTTCCTGGGCCTAATGCCATATTACAAAGGTAAATAAACGAAGTAGTATTGACTGTTTCTTCTAGTGTGATTCAAGCCTTATAAATTGTGCTTAAACTTTGAAACTGATTCCGTTGTATTTGAGAAGGTTACTCTGTACTTTCCATGCTGTTTAGATCTTTGAGGTCTCCAAGTTAGATTTATTCCAAGGATGTGGATTTTTATGCTGTCTTAAAAGGGAGCAAGATCTAGGCCATAACAACAAGGCTTGTTAAATGAGAGTTTCTCTGTAATTTTTCTGTCAGGATCTGCAGCTGAATGAACTTGGGCATATTGTAAGGACACCAAGCTCATCAGATAAGAGATTGATTTGATCACTGTATCTCTAGCTACATGCAGCTTCCTGTTGCTGCTAATGTTATGCTAAGAATAACTCATTGAACGCCGCAGTAATGTCTCACATGAAATAATTGCATCTGTTCTCTTTTCCTCGGAGCTTCATTGGAATTCTCAACTGGTTTTCTTGTTTCAGACCATTTGGAACGGATAATTGAAATAGCAAAGCTTCGAGCTATGCAGAGAAAAGCCAGGTTTGCAAAGCTGAAGGTGTGTGTCTTCAAGGAAGAGATGCCCATCACTCCCTATGAGTGCCCACACTTCAACTCCTTACGCTTCGAGAGGAGCGAGAGCGAGACGAAGCTCTTTGAACACCACTGCGAGGTGGATGTGTCCTTTGGCCCCTGGGAGGCTGTGGCTGATGTCTATGACCTGCTGCACTGTATCGTGACAGACCTGTCTGACAGAGGGATAACTGTGGATCACCAGTGCATTGGGGTGTGTGATAAGCACCTGATTAACCACTACTACTGCAAACGACCTATCTATGAGTTCAAGATTACTTGGTGGTGAGTTACTTGGCCCAGAACTCTGCAAGGGATGAAAGGACTTCTGGATGACAGTGGCTTGTAATGGTTTTGCAACACGTCTCTGGAAATGCCTTGCTGCTAACATTCCTTGGGATCAGTCTGCTGTTGGCTAATGCTTAGCTGCTCAGCGAAGGGAACCTGTCACAGAGGTGCAAAACCCTCCGAAACCTTGAAAAACCAGCCTGAAACAAGACTGTTGGCTCAGGTACCTTAACGAGGCACAAAACAGAATCACCTCATGGAAATGATGGAGAGGAGTGTCTGACATCTTCTGAGAGGTGCCACCAGCCATGTGGCTTTGGAATCCCAGTCTGGAGAGTGGAATTGCAGATCTCTCTTGCATCGTTGTGGAGTGGAGGTGCTAGTAATGCTGACAGCATGGTTCAATTTTCCCCTTTTAGAAATGTTTTAGTTCCTACTTAAACTTACCACTTTATCAAATCCAGTATCACCCAGCACAAAGTTCTGGAAATGTAATTTTGATGTCATAGATGATTTAAAAAACCCCAAACAAAAAAAGGAGTATTCCCTATATATTATTAATTATTGTCAGGATTAAGCTGTATTTGTTTGATTTTTAATTAAGAATCTGCATTGTGAATTAGAATGTTATATTTCAATTATTTCAACTGTTATCAAATGGAATAGCAGATTTGGAATATATTCCTTAATGCTTTATAGGAATAATAACTGTTCATGGGAGACTTGTGCCTGTTTTTAGCCTTAGAAATTCTAAATGTTTACAATATCTACAAAAAAAAAAAGAAGTTCTGTAGATTCAGGTCATTTACAAAGGCTTTTGGTAAAAGAGAAAACCCTATATGTATGTTCCTATTAGCAGAAGTATGAGGAATATTTAATGTATATTATTTTATTACTGACTCTTTTTACATTCTGTGATACTAAACTTTGTTCTAGAGTTAAAGTGAGATGACACTAGACAAGTGCTTCTTTCACCTCACCTTTCTTCAGACTTTTAAGTCTTAGTTTCAGGATTCTCATTGACCCTTCCCAGTGTTACATCAGGAAAAACAAAATTCAACCTTCACAGTCATGTATTTCTCCAACTAGAAACCAGTACATTTCCCCCCATACTGGAAGAGGCATTGCAGAGTCGTTTTCTTTTCAGAAGGTAATTATTACACCTCGAACAACAGGAACCACATCCTGAAGTTGAATTACTTGATGTCCAAAATGGAAAGGAAGCTCTAAACACCTGAAGATCTCACAGGTTTGTGAGGTACAGGAAACTCCAGTGTTTTTCTAAAAGACCCACTTGAAGGGGTCAGAATACTCCTAGAGAGTGGAAAATCAATGTTTGCATATTGCATTCCATTGGATTAGTTAATCCAAGAACATTGCTTAGTTAATCTCTTGACCAAAACACTTCAGAAATGCATTAATTACAATTACCAAAATTCTCAGTTACCTGAGGTAATTTTTAGAGTCATTTTAAGAGCTTTATGATCAAACTGTCTTAGAAAAAAAAAAAGGCAAATTATTTGCATCGTCACACTTGTAGTTATTTAATTTAGGGATTTTTAGTAAGTTGTCTCCCTGAGCTGGTGGCTCTAATGATCCCTCTGCAAATGTTTACTTACAGAGGTTCATGGTCAAGTGCTGAGTTTCAAGTCCAGAACCTAAATGGGAACTAGAGGGAAGGAGGGAATTAATGCATTTGGATCTTAAATTAAGTTTGTTTAAATTGTGTTATTAAATATTGACATTTCTGTTACAAGTTCTTGTGTTTGGCAACCCAAAGTGA